GGAAAATGCTTACATATGAGAAATGGCCGATGAAGAGGACCCTATAAATAATATATAATAGTTCTCCCACACAACACACAGCCAGAAGGTAAGACAATGTCCGATAGAGCAGTCCATATATTAAGTAGTACCTCAGTACGAGTATTTGCGCTGAAAATAAATAAGTTCCACCAAACATTTCGCCTAAAATTGCTGCATAATTTCCTTCGTCTCTTGGGGATATTACGAGCTTGTATTTCTCAGAACGGAAAATTCTGAATGCTCGTAAATAATTGTAAGTAACGCTAATAATAATATTTGCATTACAAACGTCTGGAATGGGGCACCTGACGGCAACTTGGATTTGCGATGAGTGAAATAATCAATTGTTCCCCCCACCACAAGGGAAACGGATATGGAAATTGGTTCATTTTCGATTTGAATAGATAGATACTTGGATTGTGATTAATTGTGTGCCATTTGAGTTGTTTATCGAAGGGAAGCGCGAATTGCAGTTTAAGCAGGAAGTCGAAAAGTTTCTGCAGATGACCTAGAAAGAACTGATTTTACTTTCCGTTTCCATGCCACTGAGACACAACACAAACGCAAAGCCACAAAGAATGAAAGTTAAAACAAAATCGTGAACTCCGACCTGGCTGCCAGGCGATGGTGGAGACAAAAAAACAAAACATTTTAAAAGAAAATTCAATGGAAACATCATCATGACGTATATCGAGTATAAACAAAAAGTTCAAAAAGACAGAGCCTAGAAAAACTGGTTAAAACCGGCTCCATTTAAAGTAACTTTGCTCAAACAATTGTAATGGGCAAAGAGTCTTCATCAATCGGAGACACTTCTTTATGGATTTTTCCATTACTGTTTCAAAAATAAACAATGATCAAATCATGAGGAGAGAAAAGTGAAAGGTACATTAATTAAACAAATAATATGAATGTTCAATCAAAAAATTTTAGTCACGATCAGAAGGAGATAGAGAGAGACTGACATTTGTATAGTAAACATTTATTGGCTATACGACGACTATATAGACATCAGATTCATGTGATGTTTGAGGCAGCTAAAGCGTAGCAAAAATTAATAATTTATTAAATACTACACACCGTCGAACTCGCATACACACATATATACATTACTCGTGTTTGGGATGAAGATATATGCAAATATGAAAATAAAATCAGGCAGGAATACTCTCTCATGGGAGGAGATGCGAAGAGCAGCCAGTGTCGTGGCCCACGCATTCTGCCTTCTTGGCTTTCTCTTTCTCATCCATCCATACATTATGTCTGGTTTCCCCTATCCGACTTTCTCTTTTATGCCAACATATATCGAAAACATATACAAGGCAAAAGGTATGGTATGGCATGGAAGGTGGTTGTAGAGATTATGTCTATGTTAACTGGAAATAGATCCTCATTTTAGTGAAACAAAGTCCACGAAATTTGCAAGTTTAAGTGGTTTAAAGGCTACACAAAGTACACTATGCAAGATTTCTACGTTAGATTTAAGCTTTCTCATTATTTCAGAGTTATATTAGTAACAAAACAAAATTCCTAGAATTTGTGTCTACTTAGTAAGCATCTACTATTAATTTGACAATCTAAAATATGATAAATTAAAGAGGAACCGATAAATCAAGCTTTCTTGCCTCTTAAATTTGTACATGTTCAGAAGCAAATGCAGTTTGTTGTTTTGCAAAAAATTATGTAATTATGGGTGTGCTAGTCATAATGTTTTACTTGATTCACATCTCAACTAACTGCAGATATAAATTAGTCCCGATGTAAGTGAACATTTTTAAGGCAATAATTTACTATGTATAAAATTACCATGATCTCCTACAGTCGTTTTCAAAAGAGGTAAAAAACAAAAAAGACACCAGTAGGAGGAAGATTTACTCCTATCCCCTGGTTCGAGTAGAATAGTACCTAATCTCTCAGCGCTTATGATCTCTATGCTAATTATGTAAAATGACTGAAGGAAACCAAACTGAAAAAACTTGTAACTCCTATTCATACTCAACATAAACACACAAAATACAGCAGTAGTAACTGGAAGCAACCATTTATCATTGATGTGTGCCCCAATTGTTTGCAATCGTTGGCTCAGAGAGGGTTAAACCAATTAAGGCGGCATATATTTTCAAGTGTATGCTCATTATAAGATTTTACAATATTTAAGTACCATATTTTTATTGCGTGTCAATGGCAAAATGCGCGGCACAAAACGCACAGAAGGCGACCCCGTCCGTACACCCAAACAGTTGGCCAAAACCTGTGTGCAGTCGCAGACATCAGTGGGGCATACATATACGAGTACGCATATATACCCAGATCTTTGATACTTATATATTTTATCTTTTGGTTAGCCATAATATTTCTCACTGCGACAGGCGACGGCACGACCTTGTCCCACGGATCAACGCGTAGAAAGCGAAAGAAGCGGCGAGCAGAATTCTCGAATGCGACAGGAGAGAAGAAATCGAAATTAAACAAGCCCCAAAAACCACTGCTTACCACATTCGTCAATCTAAATTGGTGTAGAAGAACAGCCCAGGGTGTCCATTGAGTAGGAGAGGAGTGGTATACAGGAATCCTTGTTTTGTTAGTTTCCCACTCAACCACCTACCATACCGGCCATTGTGTCAACTATTCTCGTATTTGCAGCGGCATTTAGTTATATTATTTATGAAAAATTAAAAGTTCTGTTTATTCCCACGACAGCGTGCGTCTTCTTCTTGTCGCAGTTTGTTTCTGTGACATTTTCTTCTTTTATTTCGTTTATTTGTGTACTTTGGTCATAAAAAGCAAATTAGCATAAATCCCATTTTTACGGCTAACTGAAAATGATTCGTTTTGACAGGGGACATGTCTCTATGGCTTTGATTATCTCTATTTTATTGCATTTGGAGCGGAGATAAGTGTTTTTGTGTGGAAGTGGAACTTTCGATGAAAAATTAGGGAAATATTTAGTACAATTGAAGGTAAAGGTCAAAAGCCAGACAAGCGTATACGCTTGCATATGTTTTAAGGGATATTTCTGAACCACTTTAATTCCTTTTCCCCGCAATACTCATGCATATATATGAATGATAAATAATAAAGACAACTAATGATGATCTTTGCTCGGGCGCTGCCATATGCAATTACGAGTATCTGCCTCGAGAGGTTCATTGCACCTTCCCATAAATCTGGTGGCTCCAACACTATCAAACAACATTTTTGTTCACCATAATTCAAAAGAATTAATTAAATAAAATGCCTCAACGAAAGCCGCACAATTGAAAACAACTTACAAACAGAGACAAAGAGACATACAGACGGATATACACAGAAAGACTGCCAGACGGACAGAGAGGAATCGGTTAAAAAGAGGCAAGAGAAAGATGGGAATGAGAATATGGGAATGGGAGGGTCTAAGAGTACCCATTAGCCGGTCGGTGTTGAGCGAAAACATCTTGAGGGCCCCGCAACAAACACTCGGTGGCTGTCCAAAATAGCCTAAACAGATTACACCGTAGAAGACATCGCACATACGACGCGTGTGCCGCACCGCTTTGGCAATTAAAAATTTAAGAAAATCATAAACAAACTGAGCCCCCAACCATAATGATTATGTGTGTATGTTTGTGCAAAATGTGCGTTGCCATGGCAAGTTCTATTAGTTTGTTTCAAAATTTATATTTTCTTTTGAAAGTTTTTGAGGTCTTCTTTTGCGAGAAGAAACAATTATGAGATTGGAAAGCTGCATGGAGAAGCGTAAAGTGATGTTAATGGAAGCTCATAAGTATGAACCATTTCAATTGTAAGGAACATTTTGGGAAAAAGATCCTGGTACGTAAAATTGAAAAACACTTTGATTCCCCCAACAAATTTAAACAATCAGAATTTCCCCATTTCTCTAAAAGGTATTGCCTTTCCTGTAAATATTTTGCCTAAAATGTATTCAAGGGCACTTTTACGAGTACGAATACTTCCTGTTCACACTCGTGACACCACCACCGTGCATTCATTGATTTTTGCTTTTTTAAATACATACAATATAAATTATTATTGTTATTGCTGAGGCGCATATTTAATATTTGTACAAACAAAGTATCCCCCTCATACATACATACGTTCGTTCTCTTTTGTTTATTTGTGAAATATTGAAGGATGAGTAGGAGCATTCCATAATCACCGATCCGTAGTGTTTGCTATGAGGCTTGACGCCCCTTTACTATACCCGTAAATGTATATAGAAATGTCTGTGGGAAACGTATATATAAGTAAACATCTGCATGTCTGAATAAATATGAGGGTATTCACTGTCTGTCTGGTCTTGGTGGAAATTGTTGAAGGCGGCAATTGGCTTCGCACTTCATTAATGATGCGGCGCGTCGGTTGCCCAATACAACAACAAAATTACGCATTTAAAAAAAGATATATATTATTTGAATATACACAGATGTACATTGGGAGAGTAGAGCAGAGAGAGAGAGAGCAACATCCTCATCGACAGATACAAATTTTAGGCAATTTAATTTCCGTTTTCGATGCATTCGAATAACGAATAAAAACGTTCGAATTTGGGAATCAATCAAAGCATATTTTCCAATGCTTCAATGAACTTTGGATGGAGCCCCATATTAATATTATATTTTGTATATTTTTATTTGGACTATCACATGCTGAACATTCATCAGATTCGATGCCGATTTCCTTTGTACTTGGTATTTAGATAGATTCAGATATGTATATGTTTGCTAGTAGACAATTCTATTTTCAATCGATTTCTGTGAAAAATGAATATTGCGTAAGTAGCAATCGATTGCCATCTGATTTTTATTAAACAGAAAGAGATTTTTGGTTTGGGTTTTCCCATGCCAAACTAATTAGTTTAGCCTCAAAGTCAAATTATCCATTTGATGAAAGAAATGGGAATTCAATTTGATGGGCATCCCGTCGAACAGTGAGCGTTGAAAAACTTGTACTAGAATGCTCAACAAGTAATGACAGAGCAACAGAAGCAACACGAAATGGAGGGTTCCTTAATCACCGAAGAGGAGCCCCATTTGACTCCGCAACTGCAGGCTCACTACGAGACAGAGGCAGAAGTGCTGGGATTGCTGGTTGATCTGGAGACAAAATATCGCGAATACTATAAACTGTATCTGTGCGAACTGGAGGCCCAGAAGATCCTCATCGAGAGAGTTTGGCTTCTGACGCAGAGATACCTTATCCTTATTAGTTGTGTCATTGGCTGTCGCTATCCCGAGGTCTACACTCTCTCCACGGAGGAGGCGCTCGTTAATGAATACGAGGAAAAGCTAGAAGTGCTACGTGCTTCCAAGTAAGCCTTGTCCTATTTTACCATTCCATTCTTATAGAGATTATCAACAGCAACAAAATGAAGCACTCGGTAATGGAGCTGGACACGCACTGCAAGAAGTTTTACGCGGCCTACAATCGGCTGAACAAGACCCTGGAGACGCCACTTATCATGGGCGATCAGCATCATCGTTCCATACAGCATCACAAAATAATGGCCGTTGATATATTCAACTATTTCCATGCAACAGTGCTTAAACTCAAGTGCTACATGCACCAACTGGATCCCTTGAATCTGGAGAGCGTCGAGGAGTATCGGGAGCTGCTAAAGACCGAGGCCCAACCGGAGGAGTTCGAGGAACACTTAATGGAGCGCTTCGTCTACTGCAAGTGTCTCCACAAGGAGCCGACTTGCCCCATCGAGAAACTGAAGTGCACCCATCACAATATAGCAAATTTGAAGTATGTTAGTCGCATCTAATCACAGTCCTAATGCACTCATTAAACGAAACATTAAAGTAAAATCTAGTGGCTAATCAATATTAACGTAAGCACATTTTTATAGTCATTTCTTTGGGAAATTATATTAACTTGAGGCTACTGAAGAATCCTTTGTTTTGGTAGCGTGATCCCCAGACACCCATCTGTGTTTATTCAAAGATTAAACTTTTTTGAAATAATAATCTTCTAGTGCCTGGAAGGGCTTTATGGAATGTTGAATTCATAAAGACAGTGTGTCACTTTGTACGATAATATCAATGGTTATATTCAACTATGAACTTTTTGCTGACGCCGTGCCACGAAAAGAGAAATGTCCTTTGATGATGTTTCAACATTGAGCAGCATGTCAAGCGTGTTTAATGCGGACCCTACCACCACCAACATACCACGATACAACCCACACACAAAATGGCACAAACAGATCCTGCACTGCCCAGCAAGGTGGCTGACTGGCTGACTGCCACTTGTGTATGCAACTGTCGTGTCGTGTCGTGTGAACCCATTGAGGCACAAGTACTACATCCCCGACTCTCTAGCCCCCAACTGAGATGGCAATCAAAGCGCATTTGTAGCTGTAACACTGTCAGGGACTACTGCTCTGTCGCAGGGACCGTGGGCGGATTTAACCAAGTCCGGGCGCACCCAAAAGGACACCGGCATGTTCAAGGATACCACTGGATAGCTGGACAAACAAAACAGCCTGATGACTGGCCTACAATGGGTGGATGATAAGTCTATATTATATACTTATATCCGCACGTACATACATACATTCTATACATACATAGGTATACGTATACTTTATAGAGAGAAACAGAATCTCGTGCGTCATTCGATTATGAGTTTTAGGGTCTATCCCCAATCCGCAGCCCCTCCGCTGTCTCAGCCCCATTTGTTCGGTGGCATATTATTTATTTTATACATTTTGGATAAACAAAATTCGTAGCATTTTAGCGGCCAGGCCCACAAGAGACGAGACGACACGACCCGACGTGCCGACCCAACAGCCGAGTAGACCAGACCATGTTTATGATAATGACGTCGTTGTCATTTGTCGCTAGATTTTCTCTTCGTATTTTACGAGTATTTTTGGGATGGTGTTGAAAAGCAGTCCAAGAGCCCCGGCGATTCCGCCCCCCTCCCCATACGTGGGTTGATTGCTCTTTCGCCGGCTTTGTGCGTGAGGGTCTATTTTTAGGCAGGATAATTGAAAAGCAAGCAGTACAACGAACAGCAGGAGCCCAGCCCAGCAAGAGTGGCAGGGTCTTGCTCCGCTCAGCACCGCCCCCACATTCGGTTGTAATTGTAAGGAATTCCGACAGTTTCGCTTGAGTTTTTCGAAAAGGGATTATTCATGTAACTGTTGGGTTGGATTCCGTGTAGGGTGTTGCCCACAGAGAGAAAGAGAGAACTAACAATAGATTATGGGATTGGTTGACATGTAATCAAAGAATGGGAGGAAATTGTGCAACTACACTTTGAGTCGCATAACAAAATGGAATTTGAAGCATGAGATAAGCAGTTCAAGGAACTATTCAATGGTACTCAAAAGGATAGTCCCTGGGGGAGAACGAATGACCAATGCAATGGGTTCAAAGCACTACTGCACGTGGAAATGGTCGAATAACGAATTGGAGGTGGTAACATATTCTCGGAAATGAGAAAAACCAGTTATAGGAACAAGTGAACGATACTCTTGTTTGAGGATGGAGCTATGAAGAATAGGGACCAACGATTGCATGGAAACTTCCAGCAAATTTCAATTGGCAGAGGAAAAGCAATTAGATGGGCATTTCGGCAAAAATGTGCATATGACAAGGGATGGAAGGTAGAATGAATGTGGAGTGATGAAAGGACTTTTCAAAGAAATGGGAAAACTAGTTTCAGCAACTACTACAAAAGAAAAGACTAATTTCCTGGAAATTTTAAATAAAAAAAATTCCAGAAATTAGATACAATTAGGAATTTTCGTAAAAGATAAATAGCCAGAAACTTACTTTGCTAAGGGTAGTAGGAGATTGAATTTGGCATAGTTTTCCATAAATTTACTTTAGTTAATAACTCACCGATAGTGCCCATTTCTGTTGCTGTTTGACTCCTTTTGATCAGTAATCCAATCCTCTTTGGTCTTCTTTTAGTATGCGGGTATTCGATAGAATACAACCTTTTATGCACGATAGTATTCCTTTGATTCCTCTGATTCTTTTTTCGGCAAACAAAACTACAACAAAGCTGCGCTTACACTTCGAAAGTCACATTGCAATTGTCCAAAAGCGTCACTTGACAATTTGTGTGCGTGTTTTTTTGTGTTGTTTGTGCAACTTCCAGCGTAAGTAGAAAATTTCAAGGTTGCTTCACAATTAGAACTACAATATACCCGTAATTTGGCAAACAAGATGAATGGGGGCTATATCTTTTGTTTTCGTTTTTGTTTTGCTTGACTTTATTTTCATTTATTTTGTTTCGCGAATGGAATACTAAGTGGTCGTATGATGGGAGTGCGCGTCAAGCAATGATATACGGGGGACAGCACTCGGCAGAAAGAATAATACGAATCTGAATAATACACTAAAAACACAAGCAGAGCAAGCGAAAGACGCTACACAAAAATCAGAGACCACGACACACACTAAACACGTCCACACGCCAGGAGTTTTCCGTTATAAATGTTTTCGCTGCCGCCAGCAGCTTCGGTTCTTATATTTGTTGCATCGCTTTGGGGTCTCGGCTGGCTGCTACTTCGGGAGCTTCGTCGGAGCATGGACAACCAACCGAAGGGTGCTCGCTCATTGTCTGATGCTAAATCTTTTACTCTCTCTTTTGCGATGTGTTTGTTCCATGTTGGAGAAAAGCTCTTTTGCGAAACGAAAAGCTTTCTCCCCTTTCGTTGCTGCACGCCACTGAAAGTCGTTTTACTTTGAGTTCAATTTATCCAAGCGTGGAATTTTAACTCTCTTTCCAGGAGCGAATTCATTTTTTTTCTCTCTCTGTTCTTCAATCTGTTCGTTTAAACAATAAGTAAATTGTACAATTAATATTAAATTAACAGAAATAGCAGTTTTCCAATAATATTATATATAACATCTTTTCAGTTTGTTGGATTATCTATCGGGGAGATCGAGAATGTGGTATCTTTTCAGTCTTCTTACTGTTAAGCTATTGTCTAATAGACTTAAGGGTAAATTATTTTCATGGTTGTGGAGTCTGTCCATGTATTTCTTACTAGTTTTCTTTATTTCTTCTTTAATAGTTGGAATATTAAGATGTTTATGGATTAGATATGTAAAACGGAGCATTCACAATGTGTCGCAAAGTTTTTGATTGGAAATAACATGACAACGAGCTTAAATAAAATATATCCGAAAAAAACTGAAACAAGTAATCCATGCCAAACGAAACCCCAGCAGTCAAATTCGACATAGTGTGAGAATAATAAAAAATGTTAGTATTATTCGGAGCGCGGTGGCGAGTTTACAACTCTGAATAAAATAAAAAATCAAAATTCTGAAAAAGCTCTTTTTGGCATTATTTTTCTAGATATTAAGCAGAAAGTGTATTTTATAAAAAATGTACTTAAACAAAAACAAACAAAAAAAAGCAAAGCTGTGAGAAAAATTCTCGTTTTTCTTTGGTATAATTTTTTGAAAATGAATAATTATTTATAGATGCTCCTCGAGTTTGTCTTGCGTACTGTTTCCGGAACACCCCATTAACCCCCCGAAATCTTTCCATATAAAACGAGGTTCGTTTGTAGGAAATTATTTGAATCTTGTTCGAGTAATACTCTCCTATCCTACAGATCATATTTATGCATACTGTCGTACAACTCTGTGTACTCCTCTCTCACCAAATCGTATACATCAGCATACACTTTGCACCTACAAGTCAACAAGAAAAGGTTTGTTTTCAAAGCAAATAATATTTACCTACTGTTGTGAGTAATAAGATCCCTACATCTATGTACCTATCCAACAGAGTCAAACCTTTGGTCAGAGTTTCGATCATCCTATCTCGCCTAGATTTATTCATATAAAAAAATATTTGAAAGCCTTGGAGTTTATATTTTGATATTAATTAAAACGTTTATATTTTGATACAAAAACCTTTGGAGTTTATATTTTGCCATTAATTAAAACGTATCTTTTGGTACAAAAACACAATAAACAATATTACATTTACAAATTACTGAAATACATTCTCGACGGTCTCCACGAACCCAAGAAGTATGCTACAAAAATGCCCTATCACTTTCATCTTGTGTGCATGCCCTGACCCAAATCTCATGGAATTCTTAAGCAACTCCGCCTCTTAAGAAAATAAACTTTATGGGCCGCATTACCTCAAATTATCTGGCCATATAAAACGTTGCACAGCGACAACAAATCAAGCAAAATTAATTACCGTCCCAGTTGCAAATGCGAGTATTTACTCTGTACCCATAGAGTACACGATCCCTTGCAGGGTAAAGACCAGTTAAATTTTTAATACAACATAAATAAAATAGACAAAGGGCCACAAATAGACACAGAGTCTCAAAGTTGTTGGCACGCAAGGACACCGGAGATGGGACCCCTCCATGGAGTAGGTGTTGCCGTGTGCCGGAACTTCGTAGGCAGAACTTTGGCCCAACTCGTACAGAAACCGCTACGAATAAAGTTTTGCGGCTAAATTGTCCTTGAACCAAATACCCTTTGGAAAAGGAGACATGCACCCCATGGAGAGGGAAAAGTAAACCGAGACCCGTGCACATGGCATCGATGGCAAGCCGAGAGCCAACCCCAACAAAACCCAGTAATCGCTCATGCAGCCCAGGCCTCCTGCGCTCTGATTGTGGTAGCAGTTAACTTGATTATTTTTACAAATAATTGAAAAGTTACCCTCCGTTTCCGCACCACTGCGAAAATTGAACAAATTGCAGACAAGACTATCGTGGCAGGCAGCAGGCAGTACATCCATCAAGTCGTCTCCCATACCGACATCATTGCCTCCCACCGTGGCTTTGCCGAGACTCAAGCGCCGCCACTTGCTTTACATATGAGCCGCATTGGCGTTGACGTCGTCGTCTCCAGCCACGCGCTTCTCAGTGACGACCACGCTGCCGATGACACCCCAAGCACCAGCACCAGCAACAGCACGGATGCCAACGCCAACGCCAAACAACAGCAACGATGATGACGGAGACGACACCCACTGCGGCATGGATGGCAGCGGAGAAAACACATACTGATATCGTGCAAAAACATCATTCGGAACTAGACGCCCCTGCACCTGCACCTTCACCTGCTCCTAAAGAAAATTCGGTTTGGATCAGTAGTCCACATGTTTCGTGGGAGGAATCGTGAGGTATACAAAGGAAAGCAACTGAGTAGAAACAAGTAGGGGAGGCTAAGCCCTTTGCTACGTGCGGTACATTGGGTTAGGTTCTTGGGACTTTTACTTAGGCCATTTGTTATCAGAGATTCGAAAAATAAATAAAATATAATATCATTGGGTTATTCGAAAAATAAATAAAATATAATATATCTTTAATCCTAAATTATCTACCCTTCTTTCTACCTTTCAATGTTTCAAAACATAATTCTTTTTATTTATTTATTAACTTTTATCGATACTGTTAGGATAGCTATCAATTATAACAACACGACAATTGTTCGTTATTTTATGTGAATTAACAGGAATTAATATATCTTTTTATGTACACCTCTGTCTCTGCTCTTTTGTTCTATTTACCCAAAATATCTCCACCTAACTAATAGAAAAGGTCAATGACAATGTATCCTTCATCTGCAATTATCACCGAATAAAATTCCATAATTCTAAACTATTTCTATTCCTGTTGTTGAAGGTCATTTTTCTGTCACCCAAACATATCGCTTAGTAACCGGCCTAAACATCCATTCTGTGTCGACCTAACCCAACGTGAAAAGTGCAAATTGGGTTCGGTTCCACAACTACGAATAAGGGCTACGACTCCAGCTACAAATGCGGATGTATCCTACATGCATGAAAGCCTTGCCTGTTCCTAGCACTGGCTCTGGGCTCTGGCAGGGAGCCATCGTAGTTGAGCAGGTAAATGCTATAAATAGAGTCGTTCCAAGTGAACTTGTGAACTTATTTCTGGCTCAATGGTTGCCAAGCAGCCGCCGCCCGTTGTCTCGCCCCGTGGCTATATGTAGGCGAAATTAACAATCAGACAAAGGCAACCCAACCAATTCACCCAGTGGCCCAGTCAGTCAGTGCCAAGGAAGACAGAGAAGGGGAAGGCGATAATTTTGCACTGCAGGCAAAATCGAATTAGTCGGTTGGCGGTGCTTGGAGAGCGAGCAAGCGCCACCGCAATGCAGACGCGTCCGAGCAGTGAACCGCAGCGCGTTAAGGAGCAGCTCCTCAGGGAGTTGCCCCCACAGAAATGTTCCAGCGCCACGCTGGCCAAGAAGGTGTTGACCCTACCGGCAGCACCGCCACCCACACCGGCCACAGTTGCCCCGCTCAATGTGGTGCCAATCATCGAGCTGACGCCTCCGTCTCACTCCGGCAACACTCCGAAAAAGAATCCGCCTCCACCGCCGCCCAGACTGCCCGAGAAGGCAATAAGTCCCACTCCGGACAGCAGCAATAAGGAAAACCTTCCCGTCAAAGCCGTGTTCAAGCCTTTGGGAGCACCCAACAACTATGGGGCACGACGGACATGGATCACCACAGAGCGGATGAATGAGCTGCGGCGGAAGGCCCAGGAGGCGGCCAAACAGAACAAAATATTCACCATTCGAGGGTGCTTCAATTCGGTGCGGAATGCCCTGCTCACGCGGGGATGGGTGGAAAAGTTGGATGTGCATCGGAAGGTGGTGCCAGCCGGACAGATGACCTACGAGGATCTTACCCAGCGACTGCCCAAGCGGAAGGCAGGAGAGACGAGACGACAGTACATCCTGAAGTGTGAAAAGAACATCATGTCCCGATTTCTGGAGCACATGCCCGTGGACTTCCTGTGGACGAACCGGAAGGAGAAGTGCGACTACATAGACCAGGCCAAGAATCCCGGCATGACGATCAACAAATTCCATCGAGCTCCCTTCACCTCCAAGGAGGGTTTGTGCAGCCAGCTGCGGGACTTTCACTGGTTCTTCGAGGAGGGCACTGCCGAAATGTACTTCCCCCGCTGCTACAACGTCTGGAGTCCCGAGGAGCTGGGCGAATTCATCGACAACTTCAAGCTGACGGCCTGCGTGGCCTTCCTGAGGGCCTTGCTCTGTCGCTACCACAAGCAGGGCCCTGACGCGGTCTTCTCTCCCATCGGCAAGATACCGTACTCCTCGATAGACTTTGCCTACAAGCGACTGGTGGAGTACCTCGACAGCTGCCAGCACAACGACATCGACTTCGAGGACCCGCCCAAGATATGGGAGCACGACTGGGACGCCTTCCTCTACCAGCACCAGCAGCTGGTCAACGAGGACGGACGCATCCAGCACGATGGCCAGCGACTCGAGCACATGGCCAAGAGCTGCCTGTCGCTGGTGGACAAAATGAAGATCCACTGGCCGCAGTACAGCCTCGATGGCTATCAGAATTTGTGGATTGTCAAGCCAGCCAACAAGTGTCGTGGTCGCGGCATTCTCCTGATGGATAATCTAAAGAAAATATTGGGTGTTGTGAATCCATCAATAGCCTCCAAGAGTCGC